TTTTCTTTTATTCTTTTAGATCCGCTTTTTTTTCCTGTGAAAAGGTCTGGTAGTTTTTCCTGACTTGCAATTCTTCCTCTAACATGACAACATCTGGATATGTTAAAAGGTTATTTAGTGAAGGGCATTCATTTAAGTTTCAGATACTAAATCAAGGGAGCGAAAATGAATTGTGCCAGCTGTAATAATGATGAAGATGAAGGCTCAGACCTCACAGCCGACTTGTGGGACCATCGGCAGGATTAGTGACGAGATCCTGATTATCCCACTCTGTAACAAACGAGTGCTTTTCTTTATCTGGTGGTCCAAGTTGAAGCCGTCACAACACTGACCATTTGCAAGACAGCCTGCCTTGATCCTGAGCCGCTTGCCGCACGTTGTTTATCTGGATGGGTTTGCCTGCATGCATGAACTGTTTGCTGTTGTTTTCGTTGTTGCTTGTGCAGACATATGTGATTGTGGCTCACTCAAAGCTCTCTTCGCAGAAAATCAATAAGTGTGGATAAAGACGGATTTTGTTGCCCGAGTGTGAAGTCCTTCTGTTGGATACAACATAATTTAACAAAGTGACTGACCTCCAACTGCAGATGAGAATCAAAGGCAAATAGGAAATGAAAACAGGTGTTTGAGGGCATGACACTGACCTAATCAAAAGTTTATTTTTCTATACTAATCAGAGATTAATCACACAATAGTTTGTGTGATATAGACTGATGAAGATGGTGATGTGCACATAGCCACAGAGGTCCATCTGAATATTATAAAACAACTTAACATTATAAAGCTATTTTATAGCATCGTATATCAAAAAATATTTATGCCAAGTTAATCCAATTAGGATGAGCGACACGTCACATGGCCAAAAGTTTGTAACTGCATGCTTGCATCAGACCATTTATGATTAATTGCCTCAGCAGCAATCAGCTAAATGGCAATCTGTCCTCTATGTTACCACAACTGCGGAAGCTCTGTGCTACAATCAAATCATGCGCCATCTCCCTTTGCTTAATTTATTTACCCGTATAATTCTGGCCTAAAAATAAAGCTACAAATACAAAACTATAAATTGTTAATTCACAGAGATTTTCATACTTATTGACTGCAATAACTGTAGTTCAATTTCCATTGAGCCAAATGTGTAAGAATATTTTTTTTCGCAAACTCGTGACAACCATCAGCTGACAACTGATTCACAGTCACATTAATATGATGCAGTGCTTGACTTCTTAAACACATCATGTGAACGCAGATTGCATCACGTTAATTCTCCAGGTTACATAAGATATGTCGTATGCCCGGCAATGTTTGAAGGAGTTGCCTCCAACCATGCTGTCATGCTGCTAAAACTTGCTGTAAATATTGTACTGTGATGGCACTCGCTTGTCACAGTCAGTCACTCTCAGATGAGGTGGCAGTTCCACACAGCGAGGGTGACAGTTGACTTTAATCTCACAAAGGTCTCACTAGGTCATCGTGGCACGTGCCACACAACACACTGGACATCATATTTGCTGCTTTGATTTTAAATACTGCTCAACTCAAAGGGCTTTACCACTGATTTCCAACATCTAGTGTGGTAGAGTGCTGCACGGTGAGGCTGTCGGTGGTAACATAATAATTATGTTGCCCTGAATTAGAACACAAGAGTTTGAGTTGTATGCACCATATCTTGCTTTCTTTTTTTTCTTTTTTCTTTTTTTTTGTTGACTGGTTAGGCACCAGTCAAACAGGCCTAAAGACGGGTCAGCGGTCCTTGATAACCACCAGTTGCTAGGGAAAAATGTGTATTCGTCAACCAATTGGCAAGTGGTTGCTGGAGGCTATGGGCCATGTGTGAAACTAGCTGCTAGAGCCACCGTCACAGAGGCCTAGACACCAGTAGGAGACGCCCGGGCACCCACCAGTCAACAGGGAAAATATATCAATTCCTCGTCTGGTTGGTAAATGGTTGCTGGAGGCTGAAAGTGGTCACAAACAGACATATGGTGCTGCACAAAAAAACCTCCTTGCAATTGCTTTGGTCACTAGTCAGCTGGTACAGTTGCCATAGTTTATATGGAAGACGCTAACTTGCCTGTAAACACTCGCCTAATGGTAGAGAAACTGTCTAGTGCTATGCTGTCTATTTGACTTCAGTGAAAAAAAGATGTGAATCACACATTTGCAATAAGTGTTTCACATCGCTGGGGAGGAATTTTGGCCCACTCTTCTTTCCAGAATTGTTTTAGTAATTCAGTCAAATTGAAGGCATGAAAATGATTTCAATATGATTTAAGTTTTTTGGTTGAATTGTTGTTGTGTTTCAGATCATTGTCCATAACCCAAGTCCTCTTTAGCTTTACGGTACAAACTAATAGCTGGACATTATCCTTCAGGATTTTCTGGTGGAGAGTAGAATTCATGGTTTTAGTGTATTAGTTTTACACCGGCTATCTGAAAATGTAACTTTTGTTTGTTCAGCCAACAGAATATTTTCCCAAAGTCTTGGGTAGACAAGCCTTTGGGTTCTTTTTGGTCAGCATTGTTTTTTCCCCCATGCCATTTTTGCCCAGTTTGTTTAGTACTGTTGTATCATGAACACTCCCCATAAAAGGAGACAAGGGAGGCCTGAAGTTCTTTAGATGTTTTTCAGGGTTCTTTTGTGACCTCCTGGATGAGTTGATGACGTGTGCTTGGAGTGATTTTGGTAGAACGTCCACTCCTGGAAGGTTCGCTAGTGTTCAACTTATCTCCATTTGTGGATAATGGTTCTCATCATAGTTCACTGGAGTCCAAAGGAATTAGAAATTTTTCACTGTAGATTGTGGTATGATGGGTTGCTTTTAGAGATCTTTTAATTCTATTCAATTCAATTCAAATTTAGCTATACAGTGCCAAACAGTTGCCTCAAGGCTCTTTTAGCCTACTTCACTTTGTCAGGCAGGTCCTATTTACATGAGGTATTGATTCAGCAGCTCTGCCAGGTAAAAAAAAAAAAAAAAAAAGCTACATTTTTATTTACTCTGGTTACATTTGTCTAGTATTAAAATTAGTTTGATGTTCTGAAGCATCCCACTTTTAGAAATATTTAAAAAAGAAAGGAAAAGGAAAGGGTCAAATACTTTTTTATGGCACTGTACACTTCTGTTTCACTCTAATAAGGATGATAATTTATAAACTAAACATAATGTTAAACCTGAAATTAATAAGTGACACTATAAACCCCCCAGGAATCCATTTACAGAGGTCATTTCCCCATAGACGTCTATACAACCAGGCATTTTTTTCCAATCAGGGGAGAAGTGCCTGCTGGCTATTAGAGGGAATACAAGCTTAAGGCACTTCCACACTGGTTTCACTTTTCAGGTTATTTTTTTCAAGCATATTTGTAATACAAAAAGACATAAATAAGTAAAAACTGTTCAATACTGCTTTGAAATGTACATATATAAACAGTGTAAATGCTCAAGGGACAGGGCTGGCAAATCAAGCCAAGCATGCAAAATTAAATGTGACACTTTCTATTCAGTTCACATTCGATCACAAACATTTTCTGATTCATAATGTCAATGCACATACACTGAGAGCCATTATAATGGAAAAGAGGGTAATTTACTTTAGATAAAAATACAAATTCTGTTGGTAACATTTTCTGAAAGAAAGAAAATGCTGGGTAACAGATTAACATTTAAACACAAATCAAAAATTGAGACTGGCTGGAAACCATGCAGATACACAACCATTGCTCTTGAGCATGTGGTCTCTTTGCTCTTTCACTCACTGACATGCCTGTCAGCCTTTAAATGGCTGCTCATCTCCGCTGACTACAGACATTTAATGGTTACGAGTGACAGTTCTACTTTCAGTGGCACCGCAAATCTCACAGTTTGATAGCTTGCCTCGGGCAAACTTGTTGCAAACTTAATAGATAACTTGTCATGCTGACAACAGCAGTAAAACTGCAGAAAGATTATTTTAAATATCCTCTGTAAACCACATGATTCTACAGGGTCAGAGAAGGAAAGGATAGAGTGCACATGTGCTTGAAAAATGAAATAATAAGTCAGGTAAGCAGGTGATATAAGGCGCACTTCTCACGTCATCATCTGGAGGTCAAAGTCCTCGTGCCCCTGTATCAAAGGTGTCCAATTATTAGTTATTCAGGCAAGCTCAGAGACATGACAGTTGTGTCATAGCCCACTCAGCTTCAAAATACTCAATCTATCACAGCAGACCAATGACAGAGTTTATCTTTCTATAACAGCTCCCTTTTCATTTCCACACTCGCTATGCTGATCCGAGTATTTCATAAACTGCTGATCTGCTGGGATTTTTCCCACACAGCCATGTCTAGTGTTTACAGAGAAAACCTCCAGTACATGGCAGCCCTCTGGGTGAAAGCACCTCGTTGATGCTAGATGTCAGTGGATAATGACCAGACTGCCTTGAGCTGATACGAAGGCAATAGTAACTCAAAGAGCACCTCTGAATGCAAAACCTGTTAAACCTTGAAGCAGCAGAAAACTCGTCAACAAATCTGCAACAAATATGTGACACTATGATGTGAAAATGGGCCAAAATCTCTGAAGAATGTTTTCAGCACCTTTTTGGATCTAAGGCCATGTCCACACTAATACGTTTTCATTCGAAATTGCATCTTTTTCTCTCCATTTTGGCCTTCCATCCACACTGAGACAGCGGTTTTGGTCAAGGAAAACACAGCGTTTTGGAAACGCTCTCCAAATCGGATACATTTGAAAACGCTGTTTCGACAGCGAACCCGGAGCCTTTTCGAAAACGATGACACATTTTTTCTATGCTCCGCTGCTTTTAATATAATAAAGAATGGATGTCTCTAATATATCTCAGACACAGTTTAAAGAAGTTGTACCCACCTGAAAACGTATTTATGAAGGGCAACCCATCAGACAAAAGTTGGCATAAAAGGACAGGAGCTTAAATGTCTTTTAGTGTCAAACAGAGGAGCTACACATAAACCCAATATAACATAAATAAGGGTCATATTTTAAAATTTGAACTGTGCAAAGCTGCTTTTGTTTGGAGCTAATACAAAAATAAGCATATTATGATCCAATTAAAAGGAAGATGCACGCTTTCTCAGTTACAGAGCCAATTTTTTTAAAAAAAGAAAAAACTCAGTCAGTGCTTGGTGAGCGTGCTTGAGCTTAAAAACCAGCACACTTGAGAGAGAAGCATGTGCACATTCAGATCTGTGCAAAGGATGTTTATGATTAATATCAGCTTTAAATCTTCCAAAAACCTGACAGTTTCCCCTCCCAAGAGATCTCATGAGATGAAAACATGTTTTGTGTGAACACACATTTGATCAGAACACATGCTCTCACAAACTGTATCTATCACAGCAATAACAGGGCTGATCATTAATGTGGTAACAGTGTTGCTTTTAATCAATACTGGGGATTAGATGCTGAAAGAAATACAAAGAATTGTTTCTTCAAGGTAATTAATTTGGGGAAGAAAAGGCTTTGGAATGATAGTAAACGTGTGCTAAGCCAGTTCCATCACTGATTCCTAAAACACCTGAGGGGAAATTTACTTGATTGAGAATCCATTATTGTGCTGACACAAGAATGAAGTTCATGGAGTTGAGTGGTACTAAAATGGGTCACAGCTTTGTACTCCGCTGAGTCTCCTCCACTCAGACTGACTGGACATTTCGTCATTGACTGGCATGCTGACTTACATAGTAATGAAGCTTCATCCCTGTGATTGCCTAAGTCCTTGAACATCAATATTGCCTCTACATCATCTCTGGTAGCTATCCAACTCTTGCTCCGCATTTGGTCCCTGCACCATCCTTTCCTTCCCAATTTCCATTGTATTTTTCATTTTCTATCAAGCAAAGTGATGCACTGAATAGCAATCAGTATCTCGGTTGCAAATAGCTGGGTAAGAAGAAGCCGACCGGCTAAAGAATATGAGAAGCATGAATGCCTCTGACAGTTTTCAAGTGATGGCGAGAAGACTCCATTAAGAATATTCCAACAATGTGTTAGAAATCCTGGAGAGCCTGTCAACTGTTTCATGGCAGGGAAAAAAAAAGAATCACACTCTCACCTCGGCCCATTATGTATCTCTTCGATCACTTCAGTGTCTGGATTGCAATTGCACGTGTGCTTGCTGAATCATGCTTAGACTGCAATTTCACAAGCTTTTTATTCCCAGAAAATCTCAGCACATTTGGTCTTAATCATAAGACCATCATGTTTTGTTCCCTCAACCTCTTGTACCCCTGTTGTAAATCCAAAAAATGGCACCGTGCTGTAATTCTTTCCATCTGTCAATGCTTTTTAGATATTTGTGTTTAATATGAACAGTCCTCAGCTTTTGCAGAGGATTATTTTTCTTCAAAACGGCTTTTTTAATTTATTTCTACATCTGATCCTGTAGGCTGCAGATATTTCTTGCAATAACAGCAGTAGGACAGCTTGCAGTGCACTACAGACAGTGTGCAGTGTTTGAAATGCTTCAGAAACAAAACTGTATGCATTGATTCGATTTTACATAGTGACTACATATACTTCCTTTTTGCATGTTTTAATTTTTTTAGGATCCTAAGTTGAGTATTGACTTTTTGTAAATTCCTGGATTATTTTCAGCTTTATTGACCATGAATTAATTCGAGTGGTGACATTTCAGATGGGAAATGCTTCAGACACGTCTGCTGTGTTTACCTCCACCATCTCCAAGGAGCATGACATCTTCATGGGTTCAGTCTACTGCTTATTCTGTGAGTCCACACAACATTTGTGTTGATTTTTCTGTTTTTTTTTTTATGCTTTATCCATATTTAGCACAACTCAATCTCCTTTTCTTTCACAGGTGTACTGTCCATCATAGGCAACTCCACACTGCTACTTGTTGCTTATCACAAGCGGTCAACCTTGAAACCAGCAGAGTTCTTTATCATCAATCTCTCCATCAGTGACCTTGGGATGACACTCACTTTACTTCCACTGGCCATACCATCGGCATTTTCACACAGGTATCGTAAAAGCTACCTTCTATATTTTTATTTCATTTCAACTTCAAATTCATTTATCAGTAATCATTACATTTTTTCTCTATTCACTATAAATAGCTACATGTTATAGCAAAAAATGGAGATTGATAAACATTTTGTGTAGTTGTGGGCCTTAACTATATTTTCAATCTAGCGCCATGTGGAAAGGCCTCCACATTTAGTGCCATTCCTAACAAACTGATGTGAATTCACCAATTTCCTTCTCCATCAGGACCAGACTGTGGAGTTTGATTTGTTTTGTGACATGAAATAGAACCACTGATAGAAGCCAAGATGGATCCATGCTTTCATATGTCATAGCAGAAACTGAGACTCATCAACATTTTTCCAATTTTCCTATTATCTAAATTTGGTAAACCAATGTGAACTGCAGCCTCAGTTTCCTGTTGTCAGCAGACAGAATTGTCACCTCTTCTGCTGCTTTAGCCCTTCTACTTCAAGGTTCAATGTGCTGTGTTTTTAGAGATGCTCTTACCTTGGTTGTAACAAGTGGTTATTTGACATCATCATTCTCCTCAGACATCTGGCTTCACTCAAAGAACTGCTGCTCGCTGGATATTTTCTTTTCAGCTCGCGCTTGGTAAACCCTAGAGATGGTTGTGTGGGAAAATCCCAGTAGATCAGCAATTTATGAAATACTCAGACAAGTCTATTCAGCAATCCAGCAAAAGTAATTCCGCATTCTTCGGCATTTTGATGCTTGCTTTAAATTTCAGCCGGTTGTCTTCATCGTGCCTACATGCCTAAATGTATCAACATATTGCCATGTATTTGGCTAATTAGATATTTGCTTTAATGAGCAGTTTAAACAGTTATACCAAATGAAATGCCCAGTGAGTGTATGTTACAACATGTCTAACCTAAAAAACTATAAAAGATGATTTTTAACAGATTTCCTGTTAAAGTTTGTATCTTTGCGCACTTCCTTTTTTTTCTGTCACTCTGTCTAAATACCTACTTACATTTTCATCATTGACCTCAAACTCCAACTCCTGCTGGGAAAATCAACAGTGCAAAACCATTTTCAGTGGAGGACACTGCAGTTTCCGAGCCTGACGAAGACGTGTTACGTCACGAGCATTACCAGGTGTTTGCTTTCGGCTTTGTTTTTTGTTTTTGTCTTCACACTCACAGAGTTTTGCACTGTCAGTTTGCCCTGAGTTCAACAGCTACATCCCAAGAGAGGTCATCTGGCAAAACTGCGGTACACGTCATGAAAATGTCACCATTTCGGTAAACAAAAATAAATCTGTGGTCTCCTGTCACTCACCACCATTCTTAGTTGCCAGATTTAGCTGCCTGTGAGTTGCTCTTCCCAGAAACTCAAATTCAAATCGAGGGTCTCTGCTGTTACAAGGTGGAGGAGATCTAGTATGCATTTCATACGTGTAAAAGTGATCATAATCTGACTTGCAAAGAGCAATTCCAGCACTGCTGGAGAGCTTCAGTGCTCACAAAGAAACATTAAGGTGGAGCACATTTAGGTGAGGTCTCTTGTTTTTTATTGACAAAGTCTTCCATGTTATATATCCAGAGGTCCTTTGGTGCATTTAGCTTAGCAAACAGTCAGAAAATAGTCGTCAATCAACCAAAAATATACTTTTTAAAAACAAAATAATGCGAACACTTTTGCAGACACAAGATACATGATGGCCTCCAGTAATAATAATGTGCCTGATTTAAAATGTATTGTTCTAAATTAGCTTAACTGAACCTCTGTTTTTGAACAGGGGCTTATTGTTGTTAGAAGAGAAGTGGGAACATTTTGGAAAGTGGTTTATTTCATCCTAAATGCCTGAATGCAACTGAAATGGATCATGTTCCAGCAGGTACTCTTAATACTGTATCAGATTGCAGAATAAATATAAACAAATTATATTGGAAATCTATGTTCGGGATGGAGAGGGCTTCCCAAACTTTGTTGTTATACTTCTATCCTAACACTCAATAAAAAGACCCTCCAAAGATGTGACTGAGACTCTACAGTTACACTCAAACAGGGAGCAGTTTTCTGGGCCCTAGCCTCTATTACATTTTTTTTTACTCGTTGTCTGTGTGTACAGGTGGCTGTTTGGAGAAATCATCTGCCAGGTGTATGCTATGTGTGGAGTGCTGTTTGGTCTCTGCAGCTTGACAAACCTCACAGTGCTTTCCTTAGTGTGCTGCCTTAAAGTCTGTGTCCCCAACCACGGTGAGGGTGGAATAAATTGATAAGCATGATGTTGTCAAAGCTACAGAAAGTTAACCAGCAGCAGGAGTAAAACGAGCATAATAACTTCAAGGCACCTTTTTCTATTTCCTCTCTTATCAGGTAACAACTTCTCCTCGTCACATGCCCACCTCCTGGTGGCTGGAGTGTGGTGTTACGCATCTGTGTTTGCTGTGGGGCCACTGGCACACTGGGGACATTACAGTCTTGAGCCTTATGGGACAGCGTGCTGCATTGACTGGCATGCACCCAACTACGAGCTTTCAGCGTTGTCTTATATTATCTGCCTTTTCTTCTTTTGCTATGTAGTCCCCTGCACTATCATCTTCCTCTCCTACACTTTCATTCTGCTGACCGTGCGGGGCTCACGTCAGGCCGTCCAGCAGCATGTGTCACCACAGACCAAGAGCACCAATGCACACACTCTCATTGTCAAGGTCAGAGGTTATGGCTGTGTCGCTTCAGCACCACTGACTATAGCTTTTATAGCTAACAGGATCTGAGTAGGATATGAAAAGATAAATTATTAGAAGGTTATACATTAAATTGATTACTTTCTTTATCTCTGTACAGTCTTCTGATGCATATGTAGACTTCTGCATGGATAGATTCAAAACTAAAGTTATAATACTTAAGATATATGTTTTCATACAAATTTACCACTAACATGAAACTAAATTCTGCATGTCATGGTTTTTGTTCAATGTTGTTTGAACATCTGCATGCATATGTGTGAATGCTCCTTCTCCACAGCTGTCTGTAGCAGTGTGCATAGGCTTCCTGGCTGCTTGGTCTCCATATGCTGTCGTGGCCATGTGGGCTGCTTTCGGGGATGCCACGCAAGTTCCTCCCGCTGCTTTTGCCCTTGCTGCAGTGTTTGCCAAGTCTTCTACCATCTACAACCCTATGGTCTACCTCCTGTGTAAGCCCAACTTTCGCGAGTGTTTATACAGAGACACTTCGATGTTACGACAGATGATGTACAGGGGCAGTCCACAGTCCGAGCCGAAAGAACGATTCGGATCCACATCACAGCGCAACAAGGACATGAGCGTCTCCACGCGCTTTTCAAATGGACAGCAGGAGAGCTACGGGGCGTGTCTGCACTGCACTGACAATGCAGCTCTGTGTCATGTGACACCCCAAAGGACTGCCTGCATCCTGACTGGATCCACCTACACAGAGGTGACAGTCGGCCAACTCTCAGCCAAACCGCAGGCCGAGTTCCTCTAGTGGAACAGCCTGATTCTTTCATAAAGCAAACAAAGGACGACACATGATCAAAAAGACAAAGAGGTTACTGAACAATAAAGTCTCACTGAGACTTCACCACCTTTGCAAGGGCCTTTCATGTCATCCTTTCTGAGTGACTCTTTCATTGTGAAATGAAAACATGATACAAAAACTTCTCAGAAGATTTGCCACAAAAAAGTATACTTGCAATGTCTTGACGTCTACTTCTGTGTCAGCTTGTTTCCTGTTTCATTTAAATGTGCAGTAATTTAACAGGATTCCAAGAGAGCAGAAAATGAGACAGCAGAACCCCCTCCAGCTTAAAGGTTAATTAGGAAAATGTATACCTCAGTGTGCATCATGAGGATAAACTATGTTTAATATTCCACCAGCGCCAACTGAGTATATTATAAGAACATATTGCAGTCAAGGACTGTGAAAAAGATTGTTTAGGTTTCTTTACATTGAGGACTGTGATACTGTACGTAAAGGGGTATTCAACCTAAAATGATCAAGTATTCACCGCCTGTAGGAGTGAATGTCTGATCTAATGCTTTGTCCTTGTCAATAGTGGGATGTACTGTAACTGAGACATAAAATCAAACTGGCAGCTGCAGTTTTCTGGGATGAACAACACAACCAAATTTCCCCACTTCGTCCAGCCCGCAGGGTCTTTGAGAGGTTTAATGTTAGACAGAGTACTCTAAGCAGAAGATCACTTCAGTCAAGAGGCCTGTACTTGCAGGGCTCCAGTGCAGCATGTAACCTGCAGTCATTTTCTAAACAGAGACTGTTGAACAAAATAGTTCCACATTAATTTGTACATAAGTTTAGATTTTTATTTCATAAAAAGCACTGCATGTGACTCCCTTTGGTTTACAGAAACTCCCATTTCAGTTGTGGGGCCTCGCTTCTCTTCTTATTTAGATCTTAGCAAACTAATATTAAAGGGAACCCACTCTATTAAGACAACTTAATAACCTGTCATTTCAAATCATTCTATTTAAACAGTCGACTGATTAGGAATCAAGGAAAATCAGTTTCTGCAGTATTTTACATCAGTACAAAGAGAAAGATTTCCAAAGTAGTCCATGGTAAAGACTGAAGGTCCTAGAGAATTATTTTTGCTTTACAGAGATTTTGCCTTGCAGTTTATTTTCTGCTAAAAATATGCATTTACATCTATCACTTAAAAAAGCGATTCCTTTACAGCAACGAGGATGTCTTTTCATCCATGTCAATGCAAAAATACAAAGAACTATGTTATATTTAATTTTACTTTCTTTTATAATGTGGTCCTGTGCTGTGTGACATCATGTGTATGTATATATGTTTAAAATGTATCATGTATGTATTTATTTCATTATAAAAAAGTTCTTGTTTAGTATTATTTACTAAAAACACAAAAACAAACGGATCATTTCACTGTTTTGGGAGGCACAGAAAGTTGCATCTGACAGAAAGATTTCAGAAAGATTGAAATAATTTCTAATTATTCATAAAAACACTTTAAAACATGAGGGGAAATTGTAAACACTAATTTTCCTGAAAACGATCGTAGAACAGAGATTATAATCGAATGTTTAAAATCAGCTCTTATTTTCTGTGAATAAGGCAATCTTTAATAATTTTTTTTTACCAAGCACTTTAATTATCTGTGAGGAAGCTGCTTTGCTGGGTGTTCATTAACTTGGGAGCACAGCAGGTTCAAATTTACTGCCAAAGCAATTTTCCATAAAGCGGTTTACTGACATTATAGGAGACACCTCTGTTTAAAATTCCTCGGATGGTGTGCTCTACATGTTGAGCCTGAAACTAATTTGCTCTCAGTTTTTAGAGAACTGCATTAGCGTTTTTGTGAAGAAGCTGGATTTGAAAAATGAAGCCAAATCATCCAAATGTCCTGCTTGCCCTGCAGTGGATATGGCATTTCTGGAAGAGAAAAAGGCATAAATAAATGAATAAATATTGGTCTGAATGAGGATAACCTTGAACAGCTTTGGTTTTAGGACTTGAGAAGCAACCATATTTGTCTGCCACACACAACATTTCAGGAGAAATCTTTCTGAGAAGGCTAATCAAAAATCAAAATTCATGTTGATAGCAAAGTTGCAACTGTGAGGTTGCCTTTCCTATGACGATTACATGCATGTGCATTTTAAAACATATAGGAAGCCCCATCTGTGTAATGAAAAGTAAAATCTATAAGGCATATGACCTAAAGTGATATACTTGTATTTTTTGCTAAACTGAGCTGAAATGAAAATCTTAACCGCAATCCCAACAGGGAGCACAAGCAAATATGCATGAAGGATCGACTTAGATGCAAAGTAATTTATTTTCCCCCAGTTTGAAAAAAAAAAGTGCCTGTAGGATAAGCTTTCACTGGCAACCAATATAGGGAAGCAATGAGATACAGCCAGACGAGGAATTAAAAGAAAAATAACTGATATGGCACATTGCATTAAGAGAAACTGGCAGTATAGTCCTACTTGGGTGCATACTATAGCTGGGTGCATTCTGTGTATAAAAACAATTATTTACCTTTTTGATTACTGAGACTAATTATGTGAGATTCTTCATTCTGGTCCATGCAGTCTGTTTGTAAGGCCAGATGGAAATTGATCGGTAAACATGATTAAGATTATTACTGAGTACACAGTTTTACCATTAAAGACTAAGTTTACCCAGCACAGCACTCAATTATGAAATAAAGCTTCACTTCAACAGCCACTTCAGAAATAATCACTGCTTCTCTTATCTTGATGTGAATGTCCTCTTTTAAGTCCCAATCTTCATCACCAACTCTCTTATCCTCAGTTTGTCTGTTCCTCTTAAAAGCCCACACTATGACTTCCCATACCAACCGTTCTTGTGCACTCAGACAACTCCAGACATCATTTTAGTGCAAAACACACATTTATTTTGGCGGGATTAATTCTCTGCTAGTTGTCACTGCCTTGAAGGTCACTAGAAGACAGATTTATGTTCTTAAACATGGATATGTGAGAGAAAGGCAGGTCTATGAGAGACAGAGGAGAGAGATTAAAAACTCCTCTATGGGTTTAGGCTTTTTCATCTTACCTCTGGTCGAGGAAAACCACAGTCATACCTGGCAGCATCACCCTGATGTCAGGCTGTGACCTCCTGTGTAAATTAAAATGTATCTGGTTATGATAGTGCACTGAATCACATATTTTACTAACACTGAACTAATTTTTCAGTCAATTAGTTGATTAATCAGTCTATCAGCTAAGATTTCTGTTGAATCAATGAAGTGCTTAATATGGAGCTTATTTTCTTTCTCGGCTCTATATGATGTTAGGGAGATTAGATATCCATAACATGGTCATCCAGGAGCATATCTCTGACTATGACTGCAGCGGTTCCACACCAGCTGTTATTCACACTTCCTCTTTATGAGCAGCATCCAATCAGATGATAATTTAATTTGGAGGAGAAGGGAGTGAGCTAAAATTGCTTCATGCAAAACAAGGATGAACTTTATAAGATAAATACTCATTATTTTGAACCGTAACACATGCACAGTGACTAAAGATTTGGTGCTGGAAATGAGCAGAAAAGGTCAGTTTTATTTTATTTATTTATTTTTTAAATTTTTAAGTGGAATTTTAAATCAGTTAAAATCTCTTGAAAATGGGGTCAAAATGTAGCACTCTATAATACACATACCACGTATTTACGGTAACTCTCTAAGTAAATTAGTGTTTAAGATCCAGGACGGGATGTTAAAAAGCTGACATAAAATACGGTTATTAAACACAGTATGTTTTTATTAGAATAATGAAAAGAAATATAAAGAAAACAAATGACCAAAAAAGGATTATTCAGCAGAAAAACCAGGCATGAAAGTAAGTGTTAGGTGCAACACTACATCTCAGCAAGATTTAACATTACAACTAAGGTCTGCAATAGACTGTGAGTAATTACTGTGCACATCTTGTAAGGTTTCACTATATTTCATCTTCAACAGAGGGTGAAAGTTACATTCTAACCCAAACTTTGACACCGTGGCTCTGCTTGGTTTTTCCCAGCATGCTGGTGCCCTCTAGTGCATACAAACAGAAAGACAATGGAAAGACAATAAGCCTTCATTTAGTTATATGTAAACATATATTGTAGAAAGGTGTATGATTATTATTATAAATTTTGGGGGGAAATAATACATTTTCACATATCAAAGGGGGAAAAAAACAAGGAAGAAAATAAAAAAACTGAACCACAAAGAGCAGAGGAACAACTGTGCTGTCTATTGATTAATGGAATATACACACTTTCTGGCCACTTCATTAGATGCACATTGATAGTACCTGGTTGGACCTTATTTTGCCTTATTTCAAAACTGCCCTAATTCTTCATGGTATAGAAATGCTGGGAAGATTCCTCACCGATTTTGGTCCATATTGAGATGATAGCATCAGTTGCTGCAGGTTTGTCAGTTGCACATCCATGATGCTAATCTCCCCTTCCACCACATCCCAAAAGTGGATTGAAACTAGCATGTAATCCTGCTGGAAGCAGCCATCAGATGATCTGTACACTGTTCATAAAGTGATGGACATGGTCAGCAACAACACTCAGGAAGGCTGTGACATTTAAATGATGCGCAGCTGGTACACCATTAAACTACCACCACCAGTTTGAATCAAGTCTTTCAAGCTTTCATGTTGTTTACATCAAATTCTACCCATTTTGTAGTGAAACTGAGACTCATCATACATGGCAACACTTTTCCAGTCTTCTGTTGTCCAAATTTGGTGAACTTTTGCGAAGTGTAGTCTTTGTTTCCTGTTTTTAGTTGACAGGGGGGGCACCCAGTGTGGTCTTCTGCAGCCAATCCCATCTGTTTCAAAGTTTGACATGCTGTGGGTTCAGAGAAGCTCCCCAGCATACATTGGTTATAATGAGCAGTTGTTTGACTTCAAAGTGGTTGTGCGGAAAATGCCAATACATCAACAATTTTTAAAATGCTCAGCCCCCCATCTGGCTCCAACAGTCTAGTATCTTTCTTCCTCATTCTGATGCTCACTCTAAACAGGTTGTCTTCACTATGCTTACATGCCTAAATGCAGTGATTTACTGCCATGTGATTGGCTGACTAGATATTTGTGTTATCTGTGTTATATCTTTATCTCTAACCAACGCCCGGTCGGAGATAAACATATCAGGTCAATGCTGATGCTGATGGACATCTGAAACAGGCAGTTCATGCTTGAATTTGTTGAACAGAACAAGGGAACAGGAAACCTTAAGGACAAAGTGGCAAATAAAGACTAGCACCTCCTTCAACCTCCTATATATTGGAATAACATTAAGCTACATAATCTTTATTTTTCCAATACCCATAATACCATAAAATTCATCTTTATGTATCCTGTAGCTGTAAATAAGCGGTGGATAAATTTACTTTTAAACGTATTACTGCATTAACACATCCCAAGCAGACACTGGATGTCTGCAGACACTGTCCATTGCCTGGGGATGAGCTCCAACTGAAACAGGTGATCAAACCTTCATCCCGCATGTGTTCGACAGAAGGAGAAACTGGAGGAAACGTACACGATCACAGGTAGCACATGCAAACTCCACAGATAAGACCGCTGCCTGAGCATGAACTCTGCTGTGAGCACTAAAAACTGAGCCACAATGTTACTGTGGCAAAAGAGTCAGTCAGTCAGTTCCAGTTAAGATGTAAAACTGGTATTTAGGTTTACATCTTAAGATGTGCTTCTGCATACTGGCGCTTTTTGCAGAATGCAAGCCAGCATGTTTTTGAGGGTTTTTTTGTCTGTGTCAGCTACACATAATGCATGACTGTCAAAGTACAAAGTGCTGTTATGATGGAGTATATCCCAGTTGTACACATTCTGCATGCAGAAATACATATTTTGTAAGAGCAGCTGTGGTGTTCATTAAAGGGAAAAAATATTCAGGTTGGGATGCAGCCCAGAAAATTAAAAACACCTGTGTGTGTCTGTGCACTCCTAAATAAGATACAGTATGACAGTCTGGTGCTGCACCCTTGTGCTTTTCCTTCACATGTCCACTGGTCATTAGGACCAAAAATATATTAAATCATTTTGAGGATTTAAACACAAGTAGAAGAAGTAGAAACACCAAACATCAGATTACCACATGAGAAGCATTTATGATGGACTGCTTTAAGAATCCACACCTGATCATGTGTGAAATGAAACTTGTCAGACTTTACAGCAGTAATAGCTGTAATTTGATACTTGTTCTTTCAATACAACATCTGTCAATGAGAGAAATTATATAATCACATAGGTTTTTAAATGACTTTCCTTTTTTTACATGAATAAGTTAAGAGTCTGAGGACAAACCAGTTTGACTCACTGAATTTAAGCCCACTGGGGCATGAAGCCTCTGAAAAGCATTGCTTGTGAGCTGTTTTCTTTAAGACATAAAACATTAGCTAATTTGTAAAAAAAAAAAAAAAAAAGACCAAATGTTCCTTCTTGTGAATTACATGATTCTGAGTGTGCTTTAGTTTTAAGAAACATCAGTTTAACAGAAACATAAAACAGTTATTTAGTGCTTTTCTTGCACAAATGGACAACCTAAAACCAAAAAGGGGTCATGCTGTCAAATGTGACAAACAGTAGGCCAATTATATCGTTTATTGTATCAATACAATTGCATTTTTTTTTTACTTTGTGATTTTCTCCCATTAATATCTCTTTCTTCAGATTTAACTGTATAAGGCCTTCATCTTAAGCAGATGTCGCTCAGGTATGCACAAAATATAAAGTAGCTTATCTTAACTGCATCCATAAACTGTGCCCCCTCAATCATTAGCAAATAAATTAAGCATAGAATAGAATAGTTTCGATTTTAGTGTAGAAGTTGGAAGCAGTATAACATAGCATTACCTAAACTCTAAGTAAAACCAGGGCCATCACAGGTGACCCCTTGCACCCCTGCCCACCACCTGTTTGACCCACTGCCTTCTGGTTGGCGCCTCAGGTCAATCTGGTCCCACACCTCCAGACTCACAAACAGCTTCTTCCCCTGGGCCATTCGGACTGTCTATAAACACTATCCCCCCACGCACACGCACCTCACCAATCTGAGCCAATGTTTGAGTAACCTTATCACTCAGGCCACTTACACATGGACTCTATTCAGACCAAGACTTTTCTTTGCACTACCTCCAAGCACTCTGTGACTATTTTGTTCTCCAGTGTGTGACTTTCTATTATTATTTATGTATATATTTCCCTTGTTTTATATATATATATATATATATATCCCTCTTGATTGATTCCTGTTTGCTATTTATTCCTGCTGTCTACTATTTATATTTTATTCTGGCACAGTTGGTGTGCAGTACCCACAATTTTGTTGTACATGTACAGTGACAATAAAGGACTATTCTATTCTATTCTATGTAGATTAAGGCTCTCCTTGAGGAAAGTACTTACATATGACAAATTAAGAGTTGTTTCCATGCTGTTATTATACATTATCAAACATTATATTGTATATTAAATAGTACTCTCAACTGGGAATGGTGGAAAGGTTGAGAATTGGGTGGGCAGTTTTATGAAGTACTTGCATATATGTATGTCCTGGTAACTTTATTGTAGTGGTGATTGGGGCATAAGAGTACTTTAGGTACTTAACATATGGGATCTCCATGGAGTATGACGTTGAGTAGAGTAGGAGCAACTGGCAGACAGCCTGGAGGGAAGAAGAATGAATGTCAGCAGACATAAGACAAAATACATGTGTGCAAATGACAGGGAGAGATGTGTCAGAGTGAAGCTGCAAGGAGTAGAGGTAGTTAGGGTAGATTAGTTTACCTGAGAGAGAAGGATGTTAGGTTAGGGTGAGATGGATTCAGATGATCTGTGGCGACTATTAAAGGGAGCAGCGAAAAGGGAAAAAGAAAATAGGCAATATTTTCTGGATAGATGGATGGTGTTGCACTTTGCAAAAGTCCTTGAGCACTACTTAGACAGCTAGAGACCAGTATTGTTAGAGGAAGACTAACTTTAATGACAATAAACATAACTAATGGAAAGCACTCTTTTGCTGTTCTAATAAGTATTCTTATGAATAATTGATTAAAAATTATTTAAATATGTGAATTTCTTTTCAACTTAAGCTTGAATAGTGAAATGTGTGATTTCTTGATTTTTTTTTAATACCACAGGTACTTTTATAATGTTAGTAGTTTTAACAAAAAAATATATTTGTGACCATTTATATCAACTGGCTGTTGTTGTTTGTTTGTTTGTTTTTTAATTGACGTAAATGGCGCCAGAATAACCCCTGGCGGCGTTATGCTGTTCAATGTCAAAAGGCGGCACTTTCAAAGTTAAGGTAGGCGGCTGTGTTTGTGTCGGGCCTTTACTGTGCTTGTGTAAAATTAATTATTATAACCCCTTTATGCTTTTAGCTTCACTGATAACAGTAAAAGTTAAACTCACGTGAAAAAATTCTGATTGGCGTACAGCTTCGAAGCTAACTCTTAGCTAACTTCGTTAGAGGACGTTGACAGTAGAAGTCAGGCTTAGTTAGCGGTCAAGGAAACACCTATTTTCTAAACGTAGCTAAATCAGCATGAGAAAATTCAGCCGAGACTTGAAACATAATTAAACAAACATTGATATTTCCCTCACAGGTGACAGCTAACTTACCAACATGTTGTTCTACACACAACTCTTCACTTCTAAGCGCGGATCACTAGCCAAAATCTGGCTAGCAGCCCACTGGGAAAAGAAGCTAACGAAGGCACATGTTTTTGAATGCAACCTGGAAACAACTATCAGAGAAATAATTTCACCAAAGGTAAACGTTTTCAAAGCGCATATCCATAACCACATATTATGGGATAACTTAAGCCAGTTATTATAGTTTCATGTTGACATTAGCATTATGATTTTTCGTTGTACTTGAGCAATGAAAATAAAGGACCATTCTATTCTATTTGAACTGTTTTCATTTCCGTTTAGTTTCAGTCAGTTCCTAAAGTGGATTTGCTTGGTTCATTTCAGTTTTTATGTTATTTTTAGTTTGGGGTTTGTTTTGTTTTTTTTGTTTTGTTTTTTGTCTTTTTAATTAAATGAGTATAGGAGGTATTTTTCCATGGGCAAACTTTCAGAGTAGATAGCACAATATAAACATGAAACTTTACAGTGAAGCCAGCTGACACACAACACAATCAGACATCCCAGTCTTATTAAACAAATAGTTTTCTTAACAAATTTAACCACAGTGATAAAGACTATTGCTTTCCCTTTTCTGGGTTTATACAGAGCAAAGGCAGGGTGGAGATGAGTGTCAGGTGTCTACTTTTTTAAGTTTAAATAAACACTTTTTTTAGTCTTTGAGTTAAATAATCATGATTTTATCCCTGAAATAACTAAAATGCTTTTTAACGGCTAGTTTTAGTTAATCTTTTATATTAACTATATTAAAAGAGTGAGTCTGAGACGTGAGTTTGTGTGTGTTCTTTGTAGGTGAGAATTGGTTTGCGGTCATCTGGTCATCTGCTCCTTGGTGTGGTTCGAATCTACTCCAGAAAAGCAAAGTATCTCCTTGCAGACTGCAGCGATGCCCTGATTAAGATTAAAACAGCTTTTAGGCCAGGTAACCTCACCTTGTTGAAGTTTGTGTGTGTGTGTGTGCGTGCGTGCGTGCGTTAAATAATTTAAATTCTTTCAGAATAACATTGTAAAATATTTTTAATCAGAGCAGCTTTGTTGTACAGTTTATGTGACAGTTCCTCGTAAATAAATAAAGCTAAAACCTGAATTTTAGCGGAACCACATCTTATTTCACAATCTGATCAGAATCAGAAAGACTTTATTTATTCACAAGGGGCAATTAAGATACAACAGAGCAGCATGATGTTGAAGATGAGGACAGGGCATAAACAGGCAATAAGAGTGAGATAATAAATACACAGAATATACAGTATATACACAGTTTTAAAATTAAAGTGACCGAAAGGCAAATAAATAACTGTAAGTGACTAAAAGTGAGTAAAGTGTTGGCAATATAAAAAGAGTGTAGAGTAGTTTATGTTTATGGGTGTGGGAAATAGTCTTATCGGCTGATAATAAGGAAAGGATGGTTTTCAGAAATTGATTAACTGCCATGTAAAAGATTTTCCATTCAGATTTTAATACGATTAATCCAGTCTAACAATCCTACAATTAATCCTGGGTTTATTAAAGTTACAGTGTATGGTACATAAGACTGTGTGTTTGTTTTTTTGTTTTTGAACCAACCATGTAATCATTTATTTTATATTAGCCATTTATTTGTAATGCAGCAAAAAGCTTCAACAAAAATGCAACATTGCAATATTCATGAAAGGAGTATTTATGAAAACATGCTCTATGTGTTAGAATGCATTAGTTTCACTTATATGTACCTAAAGTAGTGACAGATGGTATCCCATTTATGACATAATTGCTTAACCAACTTATTTTAAGAAGGAACATTTTCAACCCCAAGAACTTGAGCTGATCTGTGGTTTTCTCATGTACACGATCACAGCAAACAGTCTTTCATCAAACCTATGGTGTGAAAACGTAATTTACCTACATGCTCTTTCTCTCATAATACACCAGGTCACACAGATCTGCCGGTGGAGGGGCTTGAGGCCACAATAAAAGCAATTACCTTGGTCGAAGATTTCACTACCTTTGATCCCCAGCTTCCAGACCCCAGGCACTGTTTTCCTCACTTCTCCAACACGTCTAACCTTGATTGATTGATTTTTATGACACGCGTGTCAATATAAAAGGATATGAGTAGAAGGATTGCTCATATGAAATATAAGGCTGATTGTGGACTTACCTATTTTCTAAGTTATAATTCTGTGTTGACTTCCTAAAGTAAGGCTGCCCTGCAATCATACATAATTTAATTACTTGTTATTTAAACCTGATGAATAAGTATTCTGTTTGTGTCCACACAACAGTGACATAGATGTTGTGGACCACTTTTCACTGAACCAGTGTCGATCAGAGGAAATCACTCTGAAAGAGGATTTTGGAAATAACTTTCTAAACTTTGCAGACATTGGTAAGAGCTGAGTTGTTTTCTTGCTTAAGTTGAGTTGTTATTGTCTTTGTTTATGTTGAGCCTGATTTCATTCTGTCATAGAATATTATTAATTTCTTCCCTTACTTGTCGTTGATTGTAGGAGATGAGTGCCAAAGTTATAATGCATTGATGGATGTGAGCTTCCAGAGCTTGGCTCAACATGGAGATGCATTCGGGGATGAGGACCGAGGATTTGACTTACTCGGTATTCCATCCATCCATTTTCTTCCGCTTATCCGGGACCGGGTCGCGGGGGCAGCAGCCCAAGCAGAGAAGCCCAGACCTCCCTCTCCCCAGCCACCTCCTCCAGCTTATCCGGGGGAACACCAAGGCGTTCCCAGGCCACCCGAGAGATATAATCTCTCCAGCGTGTCCTGGGTCTGCCCCGCGGCCTCCTCCCGGTGGGACATGCCTGGAAAACCTCGCCCAGGGGGTATCCTTGTCAGATGCCTGAACCACCTCAACTGGCTCCTTTCAATGTGGAGGAGCAGCGGCTCTACTCTGAGCTCCTCCTGGATGGCTGAACTTCTCACCCTATCTCTAAGGGAGATGCCAGCCACCCTTCGGAGGAAGCCTATTTCCGCTGCTTGTATTCGCGATCTCGTTCTTTCGGTCACTACCCACAACTCGTGACCATAGGTGAGGGTAGGGACGTAGATCGACCGGTAAATTGAGAGCTTCACTTTTACACTCAGCTCTCTCTTCACCACAACAGACCGGTACAGCGTCCGCATCACTGCAGCCGCTGCACCAATCCGTCTGTCGATCTCCCGCTCCCTTCTCCCATCACTCGTGAACAAGACCCCGAGATACTTAAACTCCTCCATGGCCTCAGATTTGGAGGTGCTGATTACTCGGTAGTCTTACGTGAATTGATGAGGATCAGTTTACAGTCAGTTTTTAGCCAGAAGAACGTATTTAAAAACAGATCCCTCTCTGGGATACTGACTGGCTCTAGTGTTACCTTTACTGTAAAGTTGTGATGCCAGAAAATATTCATTCAAATATATCAGTATTCAGCAGGCCATTAAAAATTGGTGTTTTGTCACCAAATGCATACAGATCAAAAAAGGAGTATAAACCATTCTTGCAGTAGGTGATTGAGTAAAATGTCACAGGATATGCTATAAACTCAATCAAAGCTCTCCTTTTTCCAGTGGTGTTTGCAATCCTTGTCCTAATTATAAACTGAAATGTTTGACCTGGATTGCTCACATCTGCTATTAGCTTTGGTGTTTGTGAGAGGAGCCCGTCTGTCTGGGCCTTCAGGTCCTTGACAGGACTCATGTTCATGTATTCTCTCAGGGATCCAACATCTGAACTGTAACACAAAGAATAAATAGCCTTTGAGACACGGCATGGCTCCTATCTGCTTTTTAGTTTTTAATAACAAATGAATGGTTTCTTTTTTTTGCTTTTTCACATATCAGAATTAAAATTGAATTATGCTTTTGTTTTATTTTTTCCTCCACTGACTTTGTAGATTTTCTGGCGCAGTCCAGTGATAATGCTGAGGCCACAGAATTCATCCAGGAGAATCCACAAAATGAAAACCTACCGAGCTCGCCTTTATATGATCAGCGAGGTGATATTTCATCATGACTGTATTTTACATTAGCTGTTTAAATCACATTTTCAATTTAATTTAAACAGCTGCAAGTGATATGCGCTTGATTGTACAGCAGCGCAAGGGAATTGTGTTGTTCATTAAGAGAGTAAAGAGCTGTGTTTGCTCTGAACAGAGCCCATATGTTTGGCAGATGCTAACAGAACAGATTCCATGGAAGTAGAGACCCCGATGGCAAATCAGACCACCCTGCTCGCTAATGAGGAGGCCTTTGCTCTCGAACCTGTGCCCATCACTCGTAAGCACCAAGCATGCCAGTCAAAAGCCACTCACATCAGAACAGCTGAAATGCCACTCTTTTTCTCACATAACCTCATGTATGATTAACTGTTTTTCTTCAGCAAACTCTGAGAGGAAGAAGGGGAAGAGGAAACGCAAGTTGGTGGTGGATCAGACTAAAGAGCTGAGCAATGAATGCATCAGAAAGCAGCTTTCTGACTTTTCAGATCTGGTCACTCCTTTGGACATGGCCCCGCCCACTGTGCAGCTAATGCAGTGGAAAGAGAGCGGAGGTGCAGATAAACTCTTTGCACAGCCGTGTTCCACCGTTTTATCGCTCCAGATAAAGGAGGTGAAACCCTGCTACATTCTCAACAATATTAATCCCACAATAATATCACTACTATTGTCTGTTTTTTCTGGGAGTTGTCACATCAATTATTTTCTCCACTTCTGGACACCTTCCAGCGTTGCTATTTAAGCTGAGCACTCTGCAATTTTACGACAAGCTTTAAACCTATTTACAGAGGAATCATTCATTTGTCTTTTAAACTAATGTACCTTTTGGTAATGATAGTGAATTCGATTGCTAAAACTAGTTTTCAGGTAAAGTCTGAAAGACCAAAAGCATCACGAGTGGGACCGGCAACATGCTTGTTGCTTTAGCTTGTGTTGGGTTTTCTGGTGATTGTCTTCATCAGAAAATCGCAGAGTTATCTGAGGGAGGGCATACAGTGGAAATGCTGTAATGACTACTGCAAATACACGGTTTGATCCAAACGCAAGAGACTTTTGGCCACACTGAAACAATCATAACTCGTCACTTGCCAAATTTGCTTCCCTGTGAGTTTCTTCACTTGCACAAAATGTAGAATCAGTTAAAGGATTCTCATTTTGACACACTGCAGGAGATCCCGCATTCATTGCTGATGTATATAGTGCGAGAGGACACAATGAGACTTCCACCAAGTGGTCTCAAAATAGCAGCCGTGCTCGAGGCGTTCTG